TTTTATTAACCGACTTCAAAAAAAAATTGAAAAGAAAATATTTAATGACTTTTCTTTGTTTTTTAACCGATTTTAAAGTTTCTATTTTATTAAATAGGTAACTTCAGGGGTGGTGCTACATAATTTTGAAGAATAGGGGATGAAGGTTTAAATAGGACTGTAGAGACGATATTCTAGTTGTTACCTAATACTTTTGGTATTTCTTAGACCACTTAAAAGAGTGCAACACATTAAATAAAAGAATCAAATAATTTACTCATTATAGCTCCTGAAGTCGAAGCTTTTATTCTTCGTTACACTTTGTCTTAGCATCGACTTGAGAGGCTATGATGTTGAACCTATTTTATTGTTTTTGATTTTTGAAGTCAGATTTTACGTTTATTTTAAACATCTAGTGTATTATTAGGGAAACAATTCATCTAACCGAAGTTAGATGAATTGTTTCTCTATTAAAATTTAGTTAAGTTTCATAATTGAATCCCTTCAGATAAGGGTTTGAATGTTATTTATGGACTGGATACCGGGTACTATTTATGAGATAAATCCAATTAGAACGACTCTTGAAGCAACCCAATGAGCCAAATAATTTTAACTGAAGTGAAATACGAGAATACTGTGTTGTGTTATTTTTAATGGATATCTTACGGTATTTCATTATCAATTGTATTGAACAACATTCGGAAATCTGCTTTCAATGTAAATAATCTCTTTTCTACAGTCTTCAAAATGGAGCCGGTTCTCAATTCGACTGTATATTCTTTTTTATGTGTGTTACCTTATAACTTTTCTGGGCGAACCGATTTCAATGATTCTTTTTTTGTTTGAAAGCTGGTGCTTCACATGTGGTCCAATATAAATTTGATCAAGATTTGACCAATAGTTTTTGAGTTATTAATAATAATTTATATTGAAATCGGTTGTACAAAATTTTAATTTTAAATTATGTTATCTCAATTCAACTTTTTTTTTTCTTTAAAAAAACGTTACCCCCACACTAATATTTTCTCCTGTATTGTGGAGGCAGCTTACAAACACAAACTGCACAAGGACAAACATCCAGACGCGGAACAATTATTTGTAGGCCATACAAATACTTGTACGGTGCGGGATTCGAACCCGCGGACCCCACCGTAGCAACTCATTGCAAAGCCACTGCGCCACGGAGCCGTCATTTCATTTCATGTCATTCATTGATTAATAGTTATAAGTAACATACGCGATCTAGATGCCTTAAACCTTTATGTTGTATTTTATTAGCCCCTACATATCATACATTTTATACGTGGTAGAGCCATGCTGCAGCTATATTAGTAGGTAGTATAGTTGTAGCACGAATGGGTCGGCTCGACCGGGGAAGGACCACGCTCTCACAGAATACCAGCGTAAAATAGCAGCTTAACGCTGCTGTATTTCGTATGGTGAGTGTAGAGAACCAGAGACCCTTTTTACTGGAAACGAGGCATTCCATCTTTGTCCTCAGGGGTGGTCCTCAGGGGTGTCCTATGGGCCGCAGCAACCACTTACCATCAGGTGGACTGTGTGCTCATTTGTCACCCTTATCCTATATAAAAAAAATACATTTCTACAAAGGGCCCATCCCATTGTGGAAATGTTACACATGATAGAGCCGTACTGCAGCTATGTTATGGCTGTATTACGAATAACACTTACGAAAAAAATTAAAATGAATATTTGTATTACAAATAATTACATGGTAAAGCCATACTATAGCTAGATTATGTCTACATAACGAATGGGTTGGCACGACTGGGGTAATAGTGAGTCTTGAATTGTTTTTTTATAGGATAAGGGTGACAAACGAGCACACAGTCCACCTAATGGTAAGTGGTTGCTGCGGCCCATAGACATCTACATCTATCCTCTATTACAAATCAAAATGTAGATGCGTTGTCACCCGTGAGGACTAAGATGGAATGCCTCATTTTCATTAAAAAGGGCCTCCGGCCACCTGCACTCACCAAGCGAAACGCAGAGGTAAACCTTTACTTCACGCTGGTTTTCTGTGAGGTCGTGGTACCACCCCGGTTCGAGCCGGCCCATCCGTGCGACAGCAAAAGCTGCCGCGTGGCTCTACCACTGTTAAAATTGTGCGTGTAGAGAATCAAAGACCCATTTTAACGAGGCATTCCACCCATAGCCCTTCAGGGGTGACAAAGCGATTCGAGCAACGGATTAGTAAAATGTTAGCTCCCCTCTCCCCAACAGACAGTGTAATGACCTGGTTAAAAATGCAGGAAGTCAATGATCCAGTCGGCTTAGGACACAGTTTTGAGACATTCCATGGGGAGAAATATATTCAGCAGTAGACTTGTGGAGAGCTGATGATGATGGTGTATACCTAAATGCTACTCTTTTGTACCTAACGTCAATATGACGTTCTTAAACAAGCTCATAATGTTAAAATTTAAGTCCCTTAGTACAAATGTATTGTGATACTTTAGTTTCTCTACTAGCTACAACTTGTTTTATTTTAGTTCAAAAACTCATTTTGGCAAATGTCACCTCCCATCAAGAAATAGGATTTTATCGTACACGTTGAAGAAGAAAGAAAGAAGAAAGAAGAAAATAAGTTTATTTAGTAACACATTTTAGAAGTTTGCTAGCCATAATAACATATTAAGATAAACAGTTACTAAAAAGGTACCCAACTCAGCATAGTCTTGGTACTAACAAAGTACTTCGACACTGATCTTCCGTGGGTGCCGATAACATTTAACAAAAACAAAACTTAACAATATTCATTATTATACAATGTATAGTCAATATGCAAATACAGTATATTTAAATCATATACACGATTATACTAATAATAATAAGTAATAAAACACACATAAGTACTTATAATAAATTAATATAATATAAATAGCAATTACTTAAATAAGATTAAAAGGAAACGAATAAACGGAATAGCAAAGTATGTAAGACACAGTAAATAATTTTCAATAAATTGACTTTTGAATATTGAGTAAGTATTTTTTGTAGTTATATTTAAACAAACCGATTGAAGCTAGATTTCTAATTGGTGGTGGAATGTTGTTCCAGCATTTCGTGGCAGAATAACGAAAGCTACCTCGAAATGCCGATGTACTGTGTCTTGGACATACTAAACGAGTTGCTATTCTAACCTGTCGCCGTGAAAAGTCTAATTTGTTATAAAGATACTGTGGTGTGTGTGTCATTATGATACCAAACAATAAACTGGCAAAATGAAGAGAACGTCGAGACTGCATATTCATTAAATTACTGTTGTTGAGATAAGGTGTTACATGGGTCCGCTTCGGTATGTTAAAACAAAAACGTGAACAAGCGTTTTGCACCCTTTGTATAACTTTCTTTGTATGAGAGAGGAGACATTCGCCTATAACCGCATCAGCGTAATTAAGCTTATAGCCCACTCAACGAAGACCAAAAACTGCCAAATAGGGGAAATAATTCGTGTAAAAGCGATTTTTGGCATAGTTGTAGGGAATGGTGTCTTAAACAACATACTCAAAGTACTTATGAATGGGGGTGAAGCTAACGGGTAGGGGGGGGGGGGGGGGGGGTGTAAAGGTCCCTTTTTTAAGTTTTTCTTAAATAACTCGTAAACGGTGGCTCATAGCAAAAAAATTTCTTTTACTCAAGTAATCTAAATAAAATTTTATACAAAAAAGATTCTATACACTTTTTCGCTGGGATCAATATTTAACGAGATATTAAAGAAGAAAAGTTAATTATGATCAATTCTCGCGATTTAACGTCGTAGTGCGCGCCACAGACTGTGCGCGCCGCCAGTGAAGTGGTTGTGTGCACGCCGAGTTTCGCGCCAAAATCGGTCAGAGGTTAAATCGCGTCGCGAGTTGTGATTTTTTTTCTACGTGGCACTACAAAATGTCGGAGAAGTGTTTAATTTGTGATAATGTAGTCGAAATGGACTTGTGTAAAGTCGGAAGTAAAGGGATAAGTGGGATAATAAAGGCAAGCGCGTTAAGAAAAGATGGGAAAGAAACATGTTTAAGGAATAAGATGAGTGGTGTTGTTCACAATACTTGCAGAATACAATACGTTAGAAGTGACTCAATAAAAAGGTTTTTGAGAGAACAAGCTCTTTCAGAGCAACCATCAACATCACGTGGTGTCTCTTCTTTACGTTCAGGACAAAGTCAGTTTGATTTTAAAACAAAGTGTTTTTTTTGCACAGAAGAGCATGACGAGGAGGCGGAGAGAAAAAAACCTTATTCTAAGCGTCGAACCATTATCAAAGTTCGTACGACTACGTTTCACAATTCCGTGCTTCTTCGTGGGCAGGAAAGAAACGATGAGTGGGGTAACGACGTAGTAAGACGTATCTGCACTGTTGGGGATCTACATGCAGTAGATGCTATATATCACATGGATTGTTACAAAAAATTCACCCTTGCCACTCTACCTTCAAAAAGAAAAGCTGGGCGCCCCATTGATGAAGGGATTTCAGAAGCAATGAACGAAATCTACGATTACATTGAAAAAAATGATAACTGTCAATTTTCTATGGACGATTTGTTGGGACAGATTACGGGAGAACCACCAACTGTGAAAACCATCAAAGCCAGAATGAAGGAAAAATATGGGGACCAAATTGTTTTCAGTACAACTCGCACCAAACAAACAGTCGTCTGCTTTCATGCAACTGGTGAAAAAATTTTAAACGACGCGTGGTACACGTCAAGGTGTACTAATGAACAGGCAGAAAATGAAAGAATTGTACGAAAAGCCGCTGAGATTATCTTGAAAGATATTGAATCTATGGCTTACGACAACAGTGCCTATTTTCCTTTAACTAGCTTCTGCAGGGAGGCTGAAGAATTGATACCTCAAACTCTCGCAGTTTTCACAGACTGCCTTGCAAAGAAAAAAAGGTCACAAGAGACTGTGAAAAAAAAATGACAACTATAGCTCATACACTTATTGCTGCTATTCGCCCTAGATGTTTCATATCCCCTATTTTGTCCAGTATCGCTCTGCTTATATACCGAAAATATGGATCCAAGAATTTGGTGGACCTTCTGTCGAAGTTGGGATTGAGTGCCTCTTATTACGAGGCTCAGCGGCTAGAGCTCTCCACCATCCACCATACGGAAGAGCCTATTCCAATTGGAACTTTTATTCAGTTCGTCTTTGACAATGCTGACTTCAATGTATCCACTCTCGATGGCCGGAATACCTTCCACAGCATGGGAGGTATCAAATGTATTACACCGGCCAACACTCTTCATGCATCCACAAATGTCAAAAGGTTGAATTCTGCTCCTCCCCAGGAAGAAGTGGGCCAGCTGGGAGTTCTGGAGGTGCATACATTAGAGGGTAGGGGAACCAACGCATTACAGCAAATGATCATAGAAGACTTGAGCTTTCTGAAGCCCATCCCTTCTGACATATTCACACCCACTATTCAAGATCTCTTGTGGATGAGTGGTAAGTGGCTCCAGGAGGTGGAACCTACTTTGGAGGTGCCTAACATTCCAGAATGGAAAGGTTTTATGCATTTGACAAGTAAATTAATTAACAAAGAAACAACTTCGGTAACTTTTCTTCCATTTATCAATTCTCCACCAAATGAGTACAGCACTATACGCACAGCCTTACAGTATGCTTTAAAAAAGAGTCAGGAGGTAGGAGTCACCGTTTGTTTCGTAACTTTCGACCAGCCTTTGTATTTAAAGGCCAGGGAAATCAGCTTTGGGAGCATTATGGTGAGACTTGGTGGGTTTCACTTACTGATGTCCTTTTTGGGTTGCATTGGCCACACAATGGCTGGATCAGGACTGAAAGATGTATTATGCCAAATTTTTGCTCCTAATTCAGTTGACAAGATGTTAACAGGACATGCCTACAGCCGAGCCGTTCGAGGACATTTGCTTGTTCAGCTTGTTTTAGCTCATATTATTCTGGATGGAGCCAATGTATCAGAAGAAGAGAAGAAGGACATCTCGACTATGTTGATTAACATGGAAGAATTTACTCCAGATAAAGTTAAAGAGAATGCTTCCTTGATGTCAACTTTGAAAAAATTTCAGTACCATCTCGAGACCCTTAAAGAGAATGGGCCTACCGCTGCTTTGTGGGTGCAGTATTTCAATATGGTTACACTCATGAAGAAGTACATTAATTTTGAGCGTTGTGGTGATTGGGACGGCCACTTGGCGTGTGTACAACAGATAATCCCATTCTTCCATGCAAGTGGACACTTCCAATACGCGAAATGTGCCCATATCTACGTGCAAGACATGATGCAACTGAAGAACAGCCATCCCCAAACGTACAAGGAATTTGCAGAAAAAGGCTTCTTCACCATTAATCGCACAGGCACACCTTGGGCAGGAGTTTGGTCGGATATGGTAATAGAGCAAACTCTCATGCGCTCCATGAAAAGTTCAGGTGGCCTGACGCGAGGAAGAGGAATTACTGATTCTGTATTGGCCAAATGGGTTTGCGGATCACCGGGATGCACCGCCATCTGCACTTCATTGGAGGAGTTCGCCGAAGTGGTTTTTGCTAGTGGAGAACAGCATGTTGATTTCCGGCAGTCACGGCAACAGAGAGATTCACGAGATCGAGCTAAGATTCGGGAATGGTTTAGTGAACATCCCCCATTTCCAAAGTTGAATTCGCTAATATCTCTCTCAACGGGCGTCCTGGGAAATTCCAAAGTAAACTGCCACCAAGCCCTAGATATTGGCACCAAAACGATGCAAAATTTCATTGGCAGAAGATTCAGTGACATGAAGCAGTCTAAGAAGAATGTGGTTTTGTCACTAGCCAGTATGAGTAGTAGCATTAAAATCAATGGTGAGACAGTTACTGTTAACCCTTTAACTATTTTCCAAAGAACTGTCATAGCAAAAAAGAATGACGAAGATGTTGCAGACCTTTTGACTTATGAATTAACCCCATTCCCCATGTCTCTGTTCCACGAGGGTGTGATGCGAAAAGGGAAGAAGTCATCCCTCTACGATGTTTTGCCAGTAGAGAATAACGCAGCTCTCGATCTCAACCAAACCACCAATGTGGTAGATGGTGGTTTCCTACTACACCGTATGAAATGGAAACCGTCCTCCAGCGTTTCTTCGATTTGCCATCAGTACATTACCTACGTACAGAAACATTACAATACAAATTGTATGGTGGTTTTTGATGGTTACAGTGATGTCAACAGCACAAAACGAGCAGAGCAGAAGCGACGAGGTTTGACTAGAACGTCGGTTGACATTAACTGTAACGAAAATACGATCATCACTGTTCAACAGGAGCATTTCCTTGCCAATGAAAACAATAAAACTAGGCTGATTCAGTTCCTCACCGAGAAAATGACAGCAGCAGGGATTGAAACAACTGTTGCAACAGGAGATGCTGATGGTACTATTGTCAGCTGCGGGTTGGATAAGGCTGCCGTTCATCCAACTGTTGTAATAGTTGGGGAGGATGTCGACTTGATAGTCCTCCTCATGGGATTGGCTCCACCAAATATCAACGTGTTCTTTATGAAACCAGGACGTGGAAAGGTGGAGACCAAATTGTTTTCAGTGCGACAACTTCAACAGCTTGAATTTGCCAAGTCAATTCTCCTTCTCCACAGCTTCTCTGGATGCGACACCACCTCCGCAATCCATGGAAAGAGCAAAGTGGGAATTGCTAAGCTGTTCACGGCTAAACCAGATCTGACCCAAAACATCTCAGACATTTTCAGTGGGCTTTCAACATCACCTGAAAGTATTGAACAGGCTGGCGAGAAACTGTTTCTGGCAATTTACCAAGCGCCTGTCCAGGAACAAAATCTCAATAAATACCGATACTCAGCTTTTTTGAGAGCATCGATGAAGCCGAAATCAGATCTGGCCACTCTTCCTCCTACCAGAGGAGCTTCGAAGCAGCACTCATTGAGAGCGTACTTACAGGTAACATTAATCACAAAAGTTGTCAAATACTGTAATATAAATATATATTTGAGCTAAATACTTACGTTGATCTTATTACTTCTTTTACAGATACAACAATGGCTCGGCAACCCCCTACCACCCACTCAATGGGGCTGGGCCAGAGGGGACGATGGCATCCTAAAGCCGGTGACAACCAATGATCCAGTGGCACCTGAGTCCATTCTCAACACCATATTTTGCCGGTGCACGACTGGGTGTGGGGTGCGATGCGGCTGCCGGAAAGCAGGAATTGCCTGCTCCAGGGTCTGCGGCGTATGCTCCGGCTCATGCACTAACGGAGCCCCCATCGAAAACACCGTCGACGATGATGTTGATGATGATATTTTATATTTAGAAGATAATTAGATTTTTTTTAAACATATTATGTCTTGCCTAATTAAATAAATGTAAGTTTATTTTATTATTATCCATCTTCTTTCCTTTATATCTCATTAAATTTTGATCCCAGCGAAAAAGTGTATAGAATCTTTTTTGTATAAAATTTTATTTAGATTACTTGAGTAGAAGAAATTTTTTTGCTATGAGCCACCGTTTACGAGTTATTTAAGAAAAACTTAAAAAAGGGACCTTTACACCCCCCCCACCCCCCCTACCCGTTAGCTTCACCCCCATTCATCAGTACTTTGAGTATGTTGTTTAAGACACCATTCCCTACAACTATGCCAAAAATCGCTTTTACACGAATTATTTCCCCTATTTTTCCTTCATTGAGTGGGCTATTAGAAAGAATTAGTGACTCACAAAAGTATATCCTAAGGTCTAAGCATAAATATTTACGTACTTGGTATAAAATTTTTAGCCTAAAATAACAATTTTTAACAACTTCTAGGACATGATTATGAAATTTTAATTTGCTGTCCATTAGTACACCCAGGTTTCTAGCCTCTGTCACTTGTTCAATATGTTTATTCTGTATTTTTAGCTCTAAAGTAAACCTATTAATCCTATCTACTTGATTTTTGGACCCTAGCACAAGAAATTTAGACTTTTGAGGATTTAGCACTAAGCTGTTTTTATTAGACCATTCAACTACGTGTGCTAAATCCTGATTAATTTTTGTCACTGCTAATAAAGTTTCTGAAGGTCTAAAAGAATAGTAAAGCTGTAAGTCATCAGCATAAGCATGAAATTTGCAATATTTAATGCATGAAGCGATATCTGCACTATACAGAATAAAAAGGAGTGGACCCAGTATTGAACCCTGTGGTACACCTTGACTGACAATTGAAATATCTGAGAGTCTTTTAGTATTTGTTTTGCTAATTACTTCAACTCTTTGAGAGCGTCCGTACAAAAAACTTGAAAACCATTTTAATGTGATACTATCAAATCCATAATATGAGAGTTTTGACATAAGCAAATCGTGGTTTATTGTGTCAAAAGCACGGGAAAAGTCCAGCAGTACCAATATTGTTCCATTTCCAGAATCAGCTTACGTTGAAAGCCATCCTGAGGATATAAATTTAATGGAAAGTACTGGCATAGCGTTAACGTAACTTTCTAGAGAGTCCCTAGAGAAGTAATTTTATTGTATGTATTACTTTCCATTCTGTATTCCTAAAAAGTTTAAGAGAAAGAAAGATACCCTAAGTGTACACTATTATTACACAGTTCATCACGTTTGATTCGAATTATTTTTCTTAATTTTAACCCCCGGCAAAAGCAGGGGAGTGTTATATGTTTGTAGTGTGTAAAGTAAAGTAAAGTAAAATATACTTTATTGTACACCAAGAAACATATAACAAAATTTATATATTTAAAGGTACATTGGTACAACAGGCGGCCTTATCGCTAAAACAGCTATATAAATCGGTCTTTCAAATAAGAAGGAGTGGTCGGATTGAACAGAATGCAGTTAAGAAGATGAAGAATGTGAGTATTCCTGCGAAGGCGAATCGGTAACCACTTGAGCTTATGGCGAAATTCGGATATGTGGTCATACTTTCGTAACCCAAATATAAACCTTATGCAATAATTTTCCAGCCGCTTAAGTTTATTAAGTTGCTCGACTGTTAGATCAAGATAACAAGTGTCCGCGTAGTCAAGAATCGGTAAAAGAAGAGACTGAGCCAGCGCAACTTTAGTAGGAATGGGGAGAACATTGCATAATCTTCGAAGTAAACCAACTGCGGCAAACATTCTTCGACTTATTTCACTCACTTGCGGTCCCCAAGACAAAGTCTGATCGAACCTAATACCTAAATTCTTAACTTTGTCACTGTATGAGATAAGTGTCCTTTCGAATATGACTGGCGGGAGTAGTGACAAAGTTAAGCGAGAGATTAATTTCCAACTGCCAATAATAATGGCTTGAGTCTTCAATGGATTAACTTTAAGCCCAAATGAATTACACCAATGAGAAATACGAATAAGATCTTCATTAATTAAACTAATTGTATTGGGGAGATCCGCAATCTTACATTTGGAGTAGATTTGTAAATCGTCTGCATATAGGTGGTAAAGAGAAGTAATGTGGGAACGGATCGAATTGATGAAAATAGAGAACAATAGAGGAGACAACACGCCACCTTGTGGGATGCCAGCTTTGACAGCAGACCAATCAGAAAACGTGTCTTTAATTTGTACACGTTGCCGGCACCCTTGCAAGTAACTATGAAACCAACCAATTACGTCAGGAGATATGTTAAGAGAACTTAGGACAGCGAGTAAAACATCAAAGTCTACAGTATTGAAGGCATTACTAAAGTCAAGCAATGTCAATACTGTAAGCTGCTGATTATACATGCCTAGGCGAATATCATCAGTGATTCTAACCAAAGCCGTAGTCGTACTATGACCGGGACAGAAACCAGATTGGAATGAATTCAAAAGGTTATGATTGGACAGAAATTTGCTCAGCTGTAGGTATATTAGGCGCTCGAGTACTTTAGAGAGAAAGGAAGGAATGGATATAGGACGGTAATCCTCATATGTCGGATTAGATTTTTTAGGGAGTGGAGTTACTAGGCCGTCTTTCCAGAATGAAGGAAAAACACTGGTGTCAAGGGAACGATTTAAAATAAGTGTAAGGATAGGAGCGAAAAGATCGAGTAATGGGATAATCATCTTACGACTAATGCTGTCAGAACCAACTGCGTCGGAAGTAATGCCTAATATATTCTTCTTAACATCACTGACAGTAACTTGGCTAAAGACAAAAGAGGAAAAATTGGGAGTTGATATAGCAGAAAGTTGAGCAAGTGTATTTTTCTTACTAGCACTGTCTATAGCGGCGCTAGAGAAGAAATGAGCATTAGCTTATTTAAATTCAAATTAAGAGATTCTACATTACGCTTTGCTTTTTCAACCCCTAAAGATTTGAGAAAGTTCCAAACCTTAGTTGAGTTATCTTCCTCAACAACAGATTTATAGATATGGCGTCGTTGACTATCTCTACACACCATATTGCAGCGATTTCGTGCCCTCTCTCTCGGTTGGAATCATTAAGATTCATACGATATTTAGTTTTCGTTGTGTTCTTTTTTTTCTTGGAGTTTTTTTTAAGTCGGTAGTGAGCCAGGGGGCAGGAAGATGTAGACACGCAGTATGTATCTGCGTGTTTGTCTGTGGCATCATAGCTCCTAAATGAATGAACGGATTTCGATTAAGTTTTTTTTTGTTGAAAAATGCCTAAATCGAGAGTGTCCTTAGCTATGTTTCAAGAAAATCTATTCAGTCTTTTGAAGATCATCAACTCTTTTGTTTCCGCGGAACATTTTTATTTTAAGAGGGGTATTATCTTCTGTCTGTGACACCGTAGCTCTTAGACCCTCCACACACATACGGAATTCCGTCTCAGGATTCCGTTTCGATATTCCGATTTGGAACTCCGAACGCAAAAACTCCATATAAAATCTATGACCCGCCACACAAGTACGGTAATTTTGCGTACAGAATTTTCTCCGATTCGAGATTCCGTATGACCGCCTGTGCGTTCGGAATCTTGAACGGAAAAAAACCGCTCCGAACGCAAGTCTTCCATAGATTTTGTATGAGTCGCAACATACATTCGTAAATTCCGTACGGAACGCGCTCAGTGTTCGTCGCACGACCCACGACCGAAGCGAGTAGGTGTGTTTATGTATGATTTTTATATTTAATCTTATATGTGTATAGCTATTCGTAATCTTTCATCTTATTTTGTTTATTTGTATAATTCGTTGAAAAGGTTTACAGACATCCATATTCCAAAAAATATCTCTAGATAGATAGAGCGTTTTACATTATATTTTGGGTATTTTACGGTAAGTTAAGTTGAAATAGATATAACCCCCCCCCCCCTCCCGCAATCTATCGAGAGCCATTAAATTTTTCTATAATCTCCCATAGTTGCTTCTTAAGACAAACTTAAGCACACTTAAACATGATAGAGCCTTGCTGCAGCTATGTTATTGTTGTAGAGTGAATGGATCAGTTCAACGTATATAAGCGTAAAATAGCAGCTTACAATTTGGCCAAAACAATTAAGCGAAGACAGGAATGCAATTTCGGCGCCCGCAACCCACCTCTCCCTGCGCTTCCCCTAGGACCAATTACCGTTCCGGTGTTCCCTCCCTAGTTCTAATAACGTCTTAGCTGTCATACGGCTAATAGTTTTGGTCAAGTAGTAATGCTCTTGGGTTTCGTATGGTGAGTGTAGAATACTCTTTTTACTGGAAAAGAGGCATTAATCCTAAGGGTGATAACTCAATGCATTTTGATTCTTAACTAATGGTCATAGCATCCACTTACTATCAAGTGCACTGTGCGCTCATTTGTCATCCTAATTCTATAAAAAGACCGGCCAAGTGCGTGTCGGACTCGCGCACCGAGGGTTCCGTACAAACCTGTAGGTATATAAGTAAATGTTATGGTATTTTTATTGCTAAACGAAATCCATATCATTGCAATGTGGAAAGCTGGAGGAGCATAAATTTAAGATAAAGGTCTCTTTCTTTATCGTTTCAGTTTACTTTTATTTTATATTAAAACATATCATTTATTTTATAATATAACTGAAATACCTACACTAGCCTTGCAGCAGCGTTGCAAAAGTTCTTTTATCAAAGTTTTTATTTACAAAGTTTTTTAGTCAGTATTTAGAAATCTGGTTCAAAAATATTAATTAAGTATTAAATTTGAACCAGATATGTAAATGGTGACTGAAAAAGGTATGAATAGTTCCACATTGAACATGAAGTTCGAAAAAACGTTATCTATAGTTGTATTACTTCGTGTAGTGCTAGTGTTTATTAACGGAAACATGTTTATGGATGAAAAATATGCGGAAATTCCATTTTGGGGATTCATTCTAAAATCGATATTGAAGTCTCCCACAACAATCAAAGGAGAACATAAAGTATACCTATTGAGGTTGCTGCCGTATATTATTGTATTTATGCATTCTATTGCAACATTAATATGACATATTTTTTTTATAAAACGTTACCCCCACACTAGGATTTTCTCCTGTGTCGTGGAGGCAGTTCACAAACATAAATTGCACAAGGACAAACATCCAGACCCGGAACAATTATTTGTAGGCCATACAAATACTTGTTCCGTACGGGATTCGAACCCGCGGCCCCCAGCGCAACAACTGACTGCTAAGCCACTGTGCCATGGAGCCGTCACAGTTGTGACCTATATACAGTTATCACTCTGACATTAAACATTTCAAAATGCAAGCATTCACAACGGCCGTTTGCAGTGCCTCGGTTATTTAAATAATATCTTTTACATGATAAATCTATCACGACATCCTTAAGATTGCGACGTACATACGTTACATACATCTACTCTGCACATAAGAATCTCTCTCATAAGAACCATCAAGTTCAAAAGTGTCTCTACGACATCCCCAGGTTTCAACAAACAATGCTGCATGGGAGGAATGAATAATAGGATCTATGATGTCGTCTGAAAAATGTTTACGTAATGATTGCACGTTATGAAATACAATTTGAACTGTATTATCTTCAGGTGCTTGCAAAAATTTAAAATATGGTACCAATTTGTTTTGGTCTAGTCTTTTCATTTCTATACTTACAGCACTCTATTCTGATATTTCAGTTGGAGGTTTAAATCTACCTGAATTCACAACTAAAAATAGTCCAGACGATGACGTTGCTTTAGAACAAGCTACATCATCATCATCATCATCATTACAGCCCTTCACAAGTCCACTGCTGAACATAGGCCTCCCCCAAAGAATTCCACAAAGCACGGTCCTGAGCCACCTGCATCCATCGACTTCCCGCATGTCTTACCAGGTCGTCACTCCATCTCGTGGGGGGACGCCCCACACTTCGCCTACCGGTACGAGGCTGCCACTCGAGAACCTTTCTTCCCCATCGGTTGTCGGTTCTACGAGCTATATGGCCGGCCCACTGCCACTTCAGCTTACTAATCCGTTGGGCTATGTCGGTTACTCTGGTTCTACTGCGGATATCCTCATTCCTAAGTTTATCACGCAGAGAAACTCCGAGCATAGCCCTCTCCATAGCTCGCTGAGCGACCTTAAGCTTCCTCATCCAGCCAGCAGTGAAGGACCACGTCTCAGTTCCATAAGTCATCACTGGCAACACGCACTGGTTGTACGATTTCGTTTTCAGGTTTTGAGGTATGTCTGACGAGAAGATGTGTCGTAGCTTCCCGAACGCTGCCCAGCCGAGTTGAATCCGTCGATTGACCTCTCGGTCGAAGTTGGACTTACCTAGTCGGACTATTTGTCCCAGGTAAACATAATCGTCAACAACTTCGAGCTTAGTGCTCCCAACAACTACCGGCATAGGTGTGACATGGACATTGAACATGATCTTTGTTTTGTCCATGTTCATCTTAAGACCTATCCGTTGGAAAACACTATCGAGGTCATTGAGCATAGTGCTTAGGTCCTCCAGCGATTCTGCCATAAGGACTATATCGTCGGCAAATCGAAGGTGAGTGATGTACTCGCCATTGATGTTGATACCGTATCCTTTCCAGTCCAGAAGCTTGAAAACGTCTTCCAATGCAGCGGTGAAGAGTTTCGGGGATATGACGTCACCCTGTCTTACACCTCTCTGCAATTGGATAGGTTTCGTACTCTGGTTCTGTACTCGGATAGCCATCGTAGCCCTACTGTACAAGCACTTCAACACTTCGATATACCGACAGTCAACTTGGCACCGCTGAAGGGACTGCAGCACCGCCCAAATTTCGACGGAATCAAAGGCTTTCTCATAGTCCACATACGCCAGACATAGTGGCAAATTGTACTCTTCGGACTTCTGTACAATTTGCCGAAGGGTATGTATGTGGTCTATGGTGCTAAAGCCCTTTCGGAAACCGGCTTGTTCGGGAGGCTGGAAGTCGTCAAGTCTGCGCGCGAGACGATTCGTAATGACTCTCGAAAACAGCACGTAGACGCGGCTCAGAAGGGAAATCGGTCTGTAGTTCTTCAAGAGAGCGTTGTCACCTTTCTTGAAGAACAAGACCACCGCACTTCTGCTCCACGCCTCCGGTGTAATAACACCATGGAGGACGGAATTAAAGAGCTTCTGAAGGACTTCAAGTACCGGTCTTCCACCCGCTTTCAGAAGCTCCGCTGTAATTCCATCCTCGCCTGGGGCTTTACCGTTTTTAAGGTGCTGGAGAGCCATTCTAATCTCGCTCAGACTGACGTCCGGGATATCTTCGGAATAGTGTCGGATGAGACTCGCTCTTGGATCGTTACTCACACTTGCGTGTGGCTCCAACGATGACGTGTACAGCTGCCCATAGAACCTCTCAATCTCACTCAAAATCTCAGGTGTCCCGGAAACGATGCTGCCACATTCTGTCTTCAGCTTTGACAGGTGGCTCTTTCTGGCAGACAGATCTCTGGCAAAGACTTTGGAGCCTTGGTTCCGCTCGATCGCTTCTTCAATACGAGCTGTATTGAAGTTGCGTAAGTCCCGCCGCATGCATTTGGAGATCTGTCTGTTCAGATGCCTGTATGCTGTCAAGTCTGTTGAAGAATGTAGCTTCATCTCCCGTCTAACAGCCATGAGATTAAGAGTGTGGTCGGAGAGTTTTTGTGTTCTGCGGCGGGTCTTGCAGAACTTAGCTCCGACCGCATGGACAGTTTCCACGAGCTTGTCATTCATATCGTCCACTTCATTGCAGTCTTCTAGGCACTGAAAACGGTTTTGTAACTCGAGTTGAAAGGTTTCGGGACTTTGGAACAGAGCACGAGGGGGACGGAGCGTTGACTTCATTAGACGAGACCTCTCCAACTTAACGTTTAGGTTCAGTGTGCCTCTAACCATTCGGTGATCGCTACCAGTTTTCACCCTCGCGATCACGGAGACATCACTGAACAGTTGTCGTCTGGTCGTCATAATGAAGTCAATCTCATTTTTTGTCGAACCGTCGGGGCTCGACCAGGTCCACTTCCTGTGGGGCCGCTTCTGGAAGAAAGAGTTCATCATAAAGAGTCCCTCTTTCTCCATGAAGTCGGCCAGCTGCTGGCCCCTTGGGTTCCGTTGCCCTATTCCAAATTTCCCTACTTTCAGCTCACCGTTCTCTCTTGTGCCTAGTTTTGCATTGAAGTCTCCCATTAACACCGTATATTGGGTTTTGGAGGAATGCATGGCTCTAGAGATATCCTCATACATTTCCTCCACCTCCCCATCGGGGTGTGCCGAGGTTGGTGCGTAAACCTGTATGAACAAGCTACATACAACATCGATATTTTTACATTTTTAGAAATATGAACCACAACTTTTTCTATGGTTGCACCTTGTGACTTGTGAATTGTAGTACCTTTTGCTGGTACTATTGGAAACTGAGTACGCTGCACTACAAGATTTGAAGATTTCCACCTTTTTACAGTAAAAGTGACAGCATCTAATGGCGTCCAATACGAATTGAGATATTAACGATGTTTCCAAGAAGTTACATGAAATTTACTTCTTGTAGCTATTCCCGTACTTTTATCGAACAAAACTCAAATACGTAAAGGCCACTTTTCACTTGTTTCCTTGTGTCGACCGTAATCTATAGCCTTCAATATTCCCGTACTACCATTTACAAGGCCATCCGTAGTGTCAATGTTCACAGTTACCATATAACGTGCATCTACTCGTAAAAACAAGTTCTTAGAAAGACCATAGGTCTCCATTGTAGCTAGAACATTAACAGATTGCAGGGCTTTTCTAGCAGCTTGCGGATTTGGTGCTCCAGAAACCACATTAAGTGCTTTAACCGAGTATCCTTCGGTGTTCATTCGAGACAATACTTGATTATTGTATTTATCAACTTCATTGTTGGTCGCAAATAAGTGTATCGCTCCATGTGCCTCAATAGGTAAAGTATTAATATTGTAACATCTAGAATTTATTAACTCTATATCGATAGAAGTCATCTGACCGACAGCCATATTGTTTAAGGCTATTGAGAATGCCAGATCATCTCTTTGCCGCGTTATTTTAGTCATCATAAAGAGACAGAATGGTTCCCACATCGGAGCACCAGCAAGGTGTGCCAATGGATTTCGACTACTGTTTGGCTGAAAAACCCAGTTGTCTCCTACCGGTGGTAATTGATTGAAGTCTCCGACGCTTATAATAGACATACCAGCAAATGGCGTATCTGTGGGAAATACTTGTTGCAATCTCCTATTAATTTGGTTCAGAGTTCTACTCCCTAGCATATATATTTCATCCAAAATTATTAATCTTACTTTTGCAAGTTTACATGCTAAGGTGTTCGCGGTGCTTGCTAATAATTCGGGCATTGTTTGGCCACACTGGGATACTGGAAGTCCAAACGTACTGTGTACAGTTTGACCACCGATTCCAAAAGCAGCTTTTCCCGTGTATGCACAAAGTAAAATTCTAGCATCATCAAGATTTATACCCGGAACTCTATTGAACAAGAGAATTAAATATTCATACAAACCCATTATTTACAAACTTTTACCCAGGCCAGCTCCACCACTAACAAAATAATAAAAAGGTGGAGGTGATTCTCGACTAAAAATATATCATACATGTAATATAAAATGTCCTTGATCATATTTAAATATTCTAACTAAACTCAATATATGATCTTCACACAATACTGCTGGTTGGGCAATCGCTCCTCCTACTAAATCCGATTGATTTCCATGTAACTGTAGACAATGATCTGGATCACCTTCTTGTGTCTCTTATGCATAATCATCTAAAGGACGAGCTTTTTCTTTCACTGCACTATCCTCATTCTCTTTATCTTTATCTACATTGCGAATTGCATCCAACAATGCCTCGAACTCATCTGGTCCCCCCAAGCGATTAAACTGAAGACTTTCTGAACGGATTTCATCGCTAAGTTCGATAAATTTCTGTTCCAGGTTTATAATGTCATTTGTCATTGACCAATTCAGTAATTTTGTCGCTCCAATTTGTTTATAACATTAGCTGCTCCCTGTAGAAATTGTCAGGATTTTGAGCTCTATTATATCTTCGGAAACGTATGACCCTGGGTTTTCTTCTTTTTCGCACGTATCCATCGTTATTTAACAACACAATCCAATTTCTTATACATTCATGGTCAGTGTTTTCACCTTCATGTGTACACGAGATTTTAGTTGAAAAAGTATAATACGCAGCAAAATAAGCTTAACTCATTGTATCAAACGTTTGATCACGTGGGTGATTTTTATAATGATCCAGTAAATTTTTCTTAAATATGTCTGTGGACGAAGGATCCAAGGACTGCAAATCTATTAAAGATATCAAAATACCCACTCGTTCATTGGGGTGCCCTATATTTATGTAAACATCTCTCTCAGAGGCTTGTGACATAGGAAGTCCCGCCAGACAGTAAATTGCCTCTTTGGCTGAAATTTCCGAAGAGTTTAGAAATACTATTGATATAGCGCGTAGAGAGTCCCTTTTGTTACTGTTGCCATTTTGGCCTCTTCCACCGCCGCTCTTAGTAAATTTGACATGCCTCGATCAGTTTTGTTAATACAATCGATAATATTAATTGAACAGGCAAATGTATCTAGTATAAATTGGCAATCCATATTAGCTTGCTGTAATTCCAATACTTTTTTGCAAAATGGATTAACCATGACGTCTTTTGTGCGTCTCTTTAGACATATTTTGGGCCGTTTAAGTGTTGATCTAACTGCCCATATGTATTTTTCGATATTTAATTCTGTCGATGCTAAATACTCATCAAATGTTAAATGTGGTGGAATATTCACCAAGTCGTTCTTTATCTTTTTAGATACTTCTTTCCATTCTTTTAGGCTTGGATTATCTTCTTCCAGGGGTATCAGAAGACGTGTCTTATCCATTGGAAAAAAAGGTATTCCAAACCTACAAGGATGACTTGGCTTTGAATGACATGAATGTGTATGTTTGTGACTTTGTATCCTAACTAAATCATCATCTAATTCGTCACTATTGCAGGATATGATTTAGTCAACAAGCGTTATAACCTTTTCAATTGATGATTGATCTCCAGGAATAAAAATAGGCGCATCTTCTATCCACAACCTCATATGGGCATGAGGAGAACCTCTGTTTTGGAATTCTATTCGATGGTATTGATGGTTTATTTTACGTTCACCAAAAGGCCCAACAGGAGACAGTCATGTTTTTTTTAAATTCTTTATAACGTGTTTCGAAAAAAGTAGCACATATAAACAGGTCGGACTGAATGAGTCGCACTTTTTCTGTGTATGGAATATTTTGTGATTCCTCAAGAGACACTTCCTCATTGTCAACTAAGTTTTTAAGCTGTTTTATTAAATGAGGCCATTGCGTTTCAGCTGCTGATATCGTCATAAACGATGTGGGGACACCGAACTGCCGAATCATTGCTAACAATTTTTTCTTTTCTTCATCCCAATGTGCTGGGGAATTTCTTACACTACTAAGAATTCTATATCCATCGTCATGCTGAATGACGTTTTGTAGATAGTCGTCATTAAGACGGTTGTTTACTAAAATAGGAGCACCGTTGACGGTTTTCTTTCGAAGACAAGTAGCTATGTGTTCGCCTATTTGGGTCATCTGTTGTTTCTTTAATAAAGTAAACAAATAATCTGACCGCATAGCCCTTCTATCATGCCGAATTATTTCGGATTTCATTATCTCAGAAGAACTTAGTTTTATTTTAAACTGCCTTTTAATTCCACCATGAGCCTTAATGAAAGCTAATTCTTCAAGAAAATCGTCATACAGTAGTGATACCGGGTACTTACCCTCACCGGGTGCCATTGTTATGACGACAACCTGCTCATTATCAAGTAAAGTTTCAGCATTACCGGGGTTTACTGGTTCATCTATTAACTCACCAGGTTCACATGTGCATTCATTGTTATTTATACGATCATCATCAGTATCAACTTCGTCGTCGTTTGCCCAGTTATCATCATATATAATTTTTAATTCTTTAAATAATTCTGTCTGGACTAAATATTTTGCTGCTTCTCTCACTATTGCAAGACGAATACGCTCTTAACGACCGTGTTCGTAGCACGTTTTTTGCTTCAAAACAAGTGTTATTACATTACTATCAGATGCATGCCTTGGTAACACTGAGACCATAGTGTTAACATCGACTGGAACGTTCACTACATTCCCTGCCAATCCATGTTGAAAATCGAGACCTTGACCTCGCCTAACTATTTAAAGGAATATATGTCGTGGTGATACAATACGTTCCTCAAGTGGAATAAGGTGTTGCAGAACATCTGGAATTACAGGATAAGTTAAACCATTATACATGGCAAGCCGTGGTATTTTGCCATCATTTAGGTATCTTTGACACATGTAACAAAATGAACCACAGTCACCACATGTATTCATGAGAAATAAATGATTTAGGTTTTGATCTGAATGTTTTAGGCAACTGATTTTTTCTCATGACTCGAAGCGAATTTTTGTGCCACAAACGTTCGCTACAGGAACAGATATCCGTGTGACCATCTGCGATATTATCAAAAAAATTTTGACGTATGGCCATCCAATCACGTAGACAAGTATTTTTTCTAAAATTACACGTCTCTTTCTCACGTTCAACATAATCTGAATCCTGCCTATTTAATTCATGTTCAATTGTATTACGAGTTTGCTCTTCATCCCTGTATATTGGTTCCTCGCGTAATACACGACGAGCAGCAGTGTCACGAGGTCGTTCATTTTCTCTGTATACAGGGTCCTCGCGTAACACACGATGAGCAGCAGTGTCACGAGCTCGTTCATTTTCTCTGTATACTCGTACAGGGTCCTCGCGTAACATACGATGAGCAGCAGTGTCACGAGCTCGTTAATTTTCTCTGTATACAGAGTCCTTGCGTAACACACGATGAGCAGCAGTGTCACGAGCTCGTTCATTTTCTCTGTATACAGGGTCCTCGCGTAACACACGATGAGCAGCAGTGTCACGAGCTCGTTCATTTTCTCTGTATACAGAGTCCTCGCGTAACACACGATGAGCAGCCGTGTCACGAGCACGTATATTGTCACTTTTTTTTGTTGATTCTTGTTGTTTAGGCCAATATTAAATATTTTGAGAATTGTGTTATAATCACTCGCTAATAGCTTCGCACAGTATCGAGGTCACATCCCCCCCGCGCCGACATTCCTTTCGGGCCGGTCGACTGGACACGTCTCGGCGGTTGAGTGTAAAATTTTTGCGATCGGAACGGACGTTTTTTGTTTCTTACTTAATTTTTGTCACGTCACGAACGGAGACGAGCTAGTACCTCTGTCGTCGGCGGAACCACGTGTTGTTCTTTACGGATTTATTAACTTCGTTTAAAGTAATTGTGCAAATTATATAGTGATTTCGTTTGAAGTTCTTTTTTTGACTGTACCATTACGTGAATAGACTGAACTAGTGCTTTCAAGAAGGGAATATTTCCGGGGGTTTCACAGGAGAATACCTCTTTCAGGACAGCATCGTGTCATCTAGCCCAGGCCACCTACACCCAGACACACACAAATACCACCTACACTCACTACACTTTCATCTGCCGGGCAGATCCTGGTGAACAGTCTCCGCTCCTTACCGTTAACTAGCCTTCCCCTTTATTGTGATGGGATATTTCCACGTGGCCACTTTGGAGGCCCGACCTGCGTCTGCTCGTAAAATTCCTGCTTGGGCCCCGGGATAGCCTACTTTTGCAGAGGCAGCCCTAGGCCGTAACAAATTGGTAGCAGAAGCGCGGCTGATTGATTTTCAAACCTTTGTAATCTCTTTGACAGTCTCTCAGTTTCTTATTCTCTTCTTAATTTTAATATCTTCTTTTTGTTTCGATACACGTTTCTTCTCTTTATTATATTTTTTTAGGTCTTCTGATGATTTTCGTTTACGAGGAACAGAATTTTTTTTTGAGAATGTATGACTTAGAAGCTACTAAAGACGCAGCGTGTTTAGGAGTATACATCATGGATATTGGCGTAGGTGACTTAGATGTATAGGTCATGGAGTACACTGAGGTAGCAGGGATTACGAGTTCATTATTGACCTGAAGATGCTGACCTTGAGATTCCTCGAGATCCGTCGCCGTATGATACGCCACAGATGGCCTATTAATTTTAGGTTCAGTTTGCTTGTATTTTTGTTTAGCTTCAAGTAATTGTTCTGAGCGGGACTTTTCTGACTTTTTTGGACGACCACCTTTATTACGTCTTGGACGACCAACCTTTGAATCTTGTGTTTTATTTACGAAGCTTTCCTGCGTATTATCGTATGTATTATTTAGTAATCCTTCGGACGCGATTGGCGAACAAAAATCATAATGACCCGATGATAAATTACCTGAAAGAAGTAAACGCTTTATTGCATATCCTTCTCTGCCAAACACACCTCTCAGAATACCCGTATTACGTTCATACACTTCGAATCTCGCTGGGTACAAAAATCCTGCTGCAAAAATCCTGCTACAAAAACTGGAAGATT